AAGCAGAGAAACGACACAGTGCTCCCAGATTTTTTCCACTGTGAAGTTCTTCTCAAATCACCATTCCCCAGACATACAACTTCTTTGTGTCATGTACCCCCTTGGCAGGCTGGGGAAGCCCTCTCAGATTAACATTTTTAAATGCAAAAAACCCCTCCAAAACTCAAACAAAGCATGTAGGATTACAAAGAAAACCAACAGTGTTGAAAACAAATATCACACTACTAAAAGTATTTTGGAATATTTAAAAATGGGCACAGGGCCGGCTGAGTGGCTCAGTTGGTTAAGAGCGCGAGCTCTGAGCCACAGGGTCGCCGTTTCGATTCCCACATGGGCCAGTGAGCTGCACCCTAGCTGAGCTGCCACCGACCTGCCAACATGTGGCAGGATGGCTCCGCTGGTGAGAGCATGTGCTCCTAACAACAAGGTTGCCGGTTCGACTCCCGCATGGGATGGTGGGCTATGCCCACCTGCAACTAAGATTGAACATGGCACCTTGAGCTGAGCTGCCCTGAACTGCCGATGGGTGGTTGAATAGCAACTGGACTTGGAGTTGAGCTAGCTGCCCCCTCCACAACTAATATTGAAGGAAAACAACGTGGCTGTTCCCCTTCCCCAATTCCCCAACACTGTTCCCCTTCCCCAATAAAATCTTCAAATGAATAAATAAATAAATAAATAAATATGGACATACATTAATACAATGCTTATTTTTTAATGACTCTAATAACTACAGCTGTTTCAAAGTACTGATGGCAATAAACGATATTTCAAGATACAGGCAATCCTCATTATTGGTGAATTCTGTATTTGTTAATTTGCCTACTTGCCAAAATTCACTTGTAACCCCCATAGCAATACTCGGGGCACTTCTGTGGTCATTTGAGTAGTAAACAAATGTCAGTCTCCTGACCTGCACGTTCCCAGCTGAGGTTGAATAAAGCTCTGCCTTCTTGTTTCAACTTCCGCATTATAAACAAGTGTCCTTGTACTGCCACATGTTTGGCACTTTTATGCTTTTTGGTGGTGATGTCACTGTTTACAGTGTCTCCCAAGTGCAGTGCTGAGTGCTGTCTAGTGTTTCTACGTGCAAGAGGCTGCAATGTGCCTGATGGAGAGAACAGATGTGTAGACAAGCTCCTTTCAGGTGTGAGTGATCGTGCTGTGGGTTGTGAGTTCACTGTTAATCAAGTACAAATTAAATAAGGTGCCTTTAAACAAAGGCCACACATAAAGCAAGGGCACGTGTTGACTGGCTGGTGATAATGTGACCCCAGTCTTGCAGGAATGTAACCCTGTGTTTCTAGGCCAACCTAGGAGCAAAGGCTCATTCAGCATTTGTTAAATCAGTGTTCAAGGCAACATAACTGCCATGAATTATAAAAATTGACTGTATCTGCAACAAATGCAATGAGATATGAAAATATTTGTGACAAAAACAACTAAAACTACAGTGGTGTTTTGTGTCCTTCACTCATAATAAAAGGAAATGCTAAATTTTGCTTAGAGAGTAGTGAAGACAATTTTTTTTCCCATGCAGGTTCATAAGCACTCTTACTTCTGGAAGAGGGGAACCCCACAGGTCCCAGTTAAGGATCCCTATTCTACTGGGATTAACTTGGTACGAGGGGTGGAGTGGGGAAGTTGGTGAAAATTCCTGGAGGACTCCGGTCCTGTTATGTTCTGTATCAATACAAGTCTCCTGTAAAGATTTTTTAGCTGATAGGTTTTGCTGGGGGGCCTGAAAATAATTTTCACCAGGGCCTGAACCCAAAAACCTCTATTCCCAAATGAAAAGCACTCCGGGGGTGAGTGGGGGAATAGAAGTTCTCAATAATTATTCACGTGGAAAATGAGGAGCCACATTTCACTAGTGAAGGGCGAGGCAGGCCTTTCATCTGAAAATAGGAGAAAGAAACGGCAATAGAGTGTTGGGGTGTTTGGATGACGATCACATAGGAACCCGAACTTCGCCACCACGGGTGCCTGGAGAGGAACACAGCCTCTCTGTCGACGGCTTTTCTTTCTTATCCTGCTTACCACAAGGAGTGGGATCCAATGGCGCTAATTTAAATGTGTCAGAAAAAGAAATTCCTTTTTTTCCCCTTAATTACTTATGTAGTTTTTAAATTTATTTTTAATTATAGTTGACATACAATATATTATATTAGTTTCCAGTATGTGGCATAGTGATTCAACATTTCTATACCTTACAAAGTGATCACCACAGTAAGTCTAGTAATATTTGTCACCGTGCAGAGTTACTATGATTTTACTGACTCTATTCCCTGTGAGGTTCATTACATCCTCATGACTTATTTATAACTAGAAGTTTGTACTTCTTAATCCCCTCCCCCTTTTCTGCCCAACCCCACACACCCCTTCCGTCTGGTAATCATTGGTTTCTTCTCTGTATCTATGAGTTTTCTTCTGTTTTGTTTGTTTTTGTAGATTCCACATATAAGTGAAATCATGTGGTCCGACTTATTTCACTTAACATAAGTCCATCCATGTTGTCGCAATGGCAAGATTTCATTCTATAGTATGGCTGGGTAATATTGTATTGTATATCTGTACCACATCTTCTGTATCCATTCATCTATCGATGGACACTTAGGTTGCTTCCATGCCTTGGCTATTGCTAACAATGCTGCAATGAACACTTTTTGCTTTTAAATAGCAAGAAATAACAAAGTGTGACCTGGAAAGCAACACTAATGTGTCATTCATTCATTCATTCATTCATTCACTACTACTTACTGGGCGCCTCTCATGAGCCAGGCACTGCAGGGCTGTGGGCACAGGGGTGAGCGTGAGTGGCCAGACTCTTATGTCGTGGAGCTTCTGTTCAGGTTCAGGTGCTCCTCATCAGTAGGTCAGTCCAGGAATGAGGGGACAGGGTAGAGACGCATGTGAGTCGCCCTGGGAAAGCCCTTCAGGTGCCTCTCAGGACAGCACTCACACAGGGATTCTGAAAACCTGGAGGCTGAAGACAGTAGCTCGAGGGACACCAGTGCAGAAATGCGGGCTAGCAGCTGTCTCCTGCAGCTAGCCTGTAAAATCAGGACACTCAGAAGCGTCAAGAGGTACACAAAACCCCTTACAGGGATAGAATGTCCCCAAGCCAGGGAGAGAGACTCAAAGAAGGAATGTTTCTGGATTGGTGTGCAGTATAGAAAACAGAGGCAGAAGTGTCCACACCTGACCCACGCGCTCCCGACCCACGCGAGAGGGCCTGGACTGGCCTCGGGCTCTGGTTTCTATGGAGACAATAGTGGCATTTAGTATTTATTTTGTGCAGTATTGGTGTTCTATAAAAAAGTGAGATGGGCGCAGCATCCTCTCCCACCTTTGATTTCTTCGTGCTGTGCCCCGGAGTGAGGTCGGGGCTCAGGACCCAAGGGCCTCTGTCCTCCCATCTGTGCCTGTTCAGGCTGAAGATGAGGGAGATGGAGCTGGTTAAATTATTGCCCAAGTTGGGGAGTTCAGTTCCTAAGAGAATTTAAACAGGAAAACATAGCAGGGGCTGAGGTAACATTTAGGGTAGGAGACAGGAAGTGGTTAGGCTCACGATAGTTCAGCCTGGGAAGCCCGTCCTGGTCCTCTCTGCACTTCCCTATATACTCCTTCTGATTTCTCCCAACTTTGAAAATAACTTTATTTCTTCAGGGCCTTCTGGGGAAAAAAAGCAGGGCTTGAAAGGAATTATCTATCCGTCCAACAACAGCCCAAGCAACACAAGATAATCAATTTCACTCGTATTCTTGAAAATTGAAATTAGAATAGTAATGAAAGAACTTGGAAGAATTTTAAATACAGGAGGAATTGAGCAGAATTCTTTCTGCAGGAACACAGAATTTTAGTGCAGTGTTCTCTGGGTTTATCTTACGGCGGATTGATTGATTTCAGATAAAAGAAAACCTACAAGTATTGGTATTTTGGTGCTTAAAAATAACAGGAGATGTTGGAACACCAAAACCAGTAATGCAATTACCAAGATCCAGTAAGTGGACACATCCTCAGGAGGAGACGGATAGGCAGGTTCCCACAGCCCAGCACCTGCGCACTTCCCACTCTCCAATTTGTTCTCCTCGTGTGTATTTCCTGCTTGAAACCTGAGGGCATGTTGGTTTCCTGTTGATCCACCTCTTGGGGACGTGTGTTGGTCATGCTGAACTAAGGGTTCCATCCAGGTGACAGAAATTAATGGGTTGAAAATTTAAGTGTTTCGGCTCCCCAAAACTGAAGCTCATACACAACCTGACAAATTAATCTTGTGATCAAGGGTGGATTGACCATAAGTCTAATAACGATTAAGTTTTAGGGTCCCTTCTCAAGCCCCTGGAAGGGGACCCAGCAATGGGATCACATGGTCACATTCTTTCCAAAATGTGCAAAAGTAAGAGATTTTAAAAAGGATTGCTTTCTCTCCGTCACCCTGTCTCTTATGTCCTGTGGTGCTGGAGTAGCCACAGGAATTTTGGGGAAGTTGAAATGGATACCTATTTAAGTTGAGTTTAGCTTGAGATATTTATGTGGTTTGCAGTCATTTCTGTGCAGTTAGGTTATAGGGCTCCTGAGTACATTCTGTTGTCCACAAGCATTGTGACAACGGTGCAGGGCTAGTGGTCAGATCGCATCTCCAGAGAAGCACACAGAATGCCTCCACTGACTGCCCACTAAAGGGGAAGGCTGGCATATTTATTCACTGGCCCCTGCCACCCCTGGAGGGGAACTGCCCCACACCTCTGGGCTGTGTCAAGCAAGCTTCTGAGGGAAGAATGTAGAAAGACGTGCCTGCTTGAGGTGGGATGCTGGTGGCACAATGTGCACCTGGGAGTACACAGACTGACCCCCAAATCCATGGTTGCAATCAGAGATGGGCAAGGGAGGTGATATATCAATGAGAATGGTGTGCAATAGGATTTTTCAGAATTCCTATGCTTATACGGACACAAAACTTTAACAATACTACAAATAGACAGTGTGTCTTTAATGGGTCCCACACAAAGGACATTTGATAGCGGTCTTCCCACTTCGGCAAAAATCCTAAAAATGTACATGGCTTTGTCAATAATAAGTTGTGTAACGAAAGGAAGCTCTTTGAAACTATCAATAGTAAGCAACAAACTTTGTTTTTCTGTTCTATCCATAGACAATAATATCACAAAATCATTGTTATAAGGAGAGGCAATCAGGTTATGCAGCCAAAGAATGTCAGAGAATCTTTTAAAGAAAGAACAATTGTCATATTTTCCTGGACTTTATGGGGCTTATGATATTTGTCAACTTTTAAAAATTTGTAGATTTTGGTGATTTCTTTTCTCCTTCTAAATATTCAAGTTTGTCCCTACTTTTGCGTGTACAGGTTTGTGTTCTTTTGTGAGAGCCCTTGGCACCCAGCCAGCAGCCTTCCAAGGAAGAGCCATGGTTGAGTTAACGAGAGGAGGATCTGTCCCCTGGGGCACCAAGACCCTTGGTATGGCTTTCTTATTTGTTGTTAGAACAATTAGTTGCTCAAGGGCACATGTATTTCCTTACTTGGAATGGCACCCAAAGCACTTTATTAAAGGTTATTTGAGCGTCAGTTGGAGGGGAACTGATCCAGAAACATACAGAATCACACTGCCATTCACGTACGCTCTTAAGTGAGAGAAAAGCACTTTGCAAAGATGCTGCTGAAGAGAGTCCTCGAGTCTGTGGCACAGCAGCCCTGTAACTCCTTGTTGAATGAGTTTACACGGGCTCTGTTCTCTGAGCTCCCCTGGACTCCATGTCCATGAGGAACTCAGTGCCCTCCTTGATCTCCAAACACCTGTTCAATCTGGGGGTTGAACGGATTCTCTTTTCCCAGGACATCGGGCCACTGGCGCTGCACTTTGTTCCAGAAGACATCTGCCAACAGCAGCAAAGCCACCTGCAGGAGAGGAGTACAAGGGAAATTACAACAAAGTGAAGAATGTACTGGCAAGATTTACGCTATTCTTTGTGTGGTGGACAGACTCTGGATGGTGCTCCAAGATTCCTAGGTTCTGCCCAACAGAATGTGGCGAAGGTGAAAGGATGTCACTTCAGTGAAGGGGTAACATTATCTAGAGCTCAACTCTGCTAGCAGTCTTGCCCTGCAGACTCCTTGTTGAGTTGATGAAGTAGGACACCCACATGGCAAGGGACTGAGGGTGGCCTCCTGCTGACAGCCAGCGAGAAGCTGGTTCCTCAGTCCTACAACCACTAGGAAATGAATTTGGTCAACAACCCAAGTGCATCTGAAAGCAATTCTTCTGCAGCTGAGTCTACAGATGAAAACATGGCCTGGATGACACACCTGGGTTTCAGCCAAAGCAGAGGACCCAGTCAAATTGTGCCAACACTTCAAACTCTGAGATTAAAAAAAAATCAACATTGTTTTAAGCTGCTAAATTTGTGCTGATTTGTTATTCAGTAATAGATAACAAATACTGTTCCTCAGCTGTTTATTCACTTATCTGTGAATAACACACTGCAGGACTAAGGCTTGGGTTTTGGAAAGAGCACAATGAGTGCTTTCCTCAAGAACCGCCAGTCTGGGGAGTGAAACAGACATGCAAAATGACACTAATAAACCTGTAGGGGGCGCTGTGAGAGGGATGCCCACAGCTGGAAGGGGAAGAGGTGTCCACTCTGCAAGGTGGGGCGGGAGGGGACAGGTCCTCTCTCCCAGCCTAATGCTCACTCTGCCTGCGTCGTCTCTGCCCTCAGGTTTCTCTTCATTCACAATGTTAGCAGGGCCCATTCTTGATTGTCCCATCCTGTGGCTTGTCATTAACGTGCCTTTGATGAGCTGCCCTTCTCTGCAGATAATGCCCTCATTCATTTAGCCAACAAGGCCTGGCCAGGTGTTCAGGCCCCCTGTGGCTATACCTTCACAGGGGTTTCTAATACTGGATGATAGAAGAAATGGGATTGCTGCAGGTCTCAGAGGAGAGCGCGTTGTTCCGGGAGCATGCTCAGGGGTGTTCCCGAGTTTGTTCAGAAGCCCGTGGACATTGTCTCCCAAGGGCAGGTCCCGGTCACCATTTCCACAGGCACAGCTGTCAGCTCCCTGGGCGATGCTGGGCAGTCTTTTTCCACTCGCATCTGCAAAATGCGTGGGCTCGAGCAAACGACCTACAGACCTTTTTGGGTCTACACTATGTGCAAGAGTTTTGCAGGTGTTAGAAAAAGTGAGAACTGATCGGGTGGCTACATTAAATATCCCCAGTGTAGTAATGTGTTTCAAGTCTGCTGAGGTGGACCCCAGATTCCATCCATCCAACTATGTAATCCTGATCACATGTCTAACACACCACACACACACACACACACACACACACCAATACACACCACACACATACCACATATACACACCACAAACACACACACCAATATGCACCACACACATACCGCATACACACACCACCCACACACACCAATACACACACACACACACACACACACCACACACACACCACATACACACACACACACACACTGACTGGCAAGCCGGCACGTTTCTGGGAAGTGTCTAATCATCTCTGACACACAAAACAATCAGGGTCTTTGAAGACGGGACTGGTTTTGTGGCCATTTTTCTTGCTATTTCTTCTCAACAAAAGAGGCTGCTGCCAGGCCTGCAGAAAATTATTCATTGTTCTTTTTTGTTCATTCCCTTTCAACTTGATACACATTAGCTGTCTTCCTAACAATTATGAGGCGCCAAGGCATTTGTGGTCATTTCTTTCCCAGTCTAAATTAGGGGTGAGGTAGGGGTGAGGATAAGAAGAAAGTTGAAAGGAAAGCGCTCAGATGGAGCCTGTGGTAACTGTGTGGTTGAAAGCAATTAGTTGGCTGTCACTCCAGTGGAGATTAAAGTGTTTATGAGTGTGCAAAGCTAATATATTGGGTCTAACATGAGAGTGACATTGTTATTACTAAACTAGAGATTTGTGATACAACAACCCGCTATAATCGTTCATTCATCTGAGGAATGTTTACTGAGCACCTACTGTGGGATTTTCTTACAACCAGGCTCCTCTTAGAACGCCCACGACACACAGCACCAGGCAAGGCCCAGCCATCCTTTCCTCTCATTATTCCAAATACCTTTTGTGCTTCCTTATTCATAGTTTAAAATATGAGAGCAACACTTAGTCATTTGAGAAAAATTTAAAAAGGCAATTAAACAAAAGGAGAAAAACAATAAATAAAAATCGTCTGTAATTATAACAGAGATAGCCACTGTTAACTTTGGGTGTAGAGCCTTTCTACTGCACACATGTACACACACACACACACACATTGGATCCCTTTGTAAATATCATTTTATAATCTGCTCTTTTTGAGGTGTAATTTACACACACGAAAACTAACTCTTTGGTAAACAGTTCCATGAGTGTTGACAAATGCATACAGTTGAATGATTGTCCCCGCCATCTTTAGTCTGCTATTATTTACTTTGTGCTACATGACAAACATATTTTTGTGTCACTAACAGTAGATCAATATCGTTGTTTTTATTCGATGCATGCTATTGCATCAGGTGGATGCAAACTAATTTATTCCTCCAATGGAGGCTTTTGTCACACGTGTCCCTAGGATTTGACCTCAGGACAGGGAACGGAGGCAGCTTCCTCCTGCCAGTTCACACAACATGCGCGGCGCAGGAGGGGTTCATAGGCTGCCTTGCTCACTAACCCCACTTAACATGTGTGGGGTGGAATGGGGTCCAGCAGAATGGAGGGAAAGGCGGGGTTCTGGTTAACTGGTTTTCCTGGTTAACTGAGCTGGGCCCTTCTGTGTCTCTTCCTCTGTAGCTGACTCAGCTGCCTGTGTGCTCTTACAGGACCCCAGCTGCGAAGAGTCCAGACAGCTGCCACATGGGCGGTATTGCTTTTGTCCAGACACCACTGCTGATTCCAGCACACGTGGCCCTTCCTCAGGTAAGTCCACATCTGATGGGCACTGGCACCTTTCTTCAGGCACCCCTGCAGCCCCTGTGCATCTGTGAGGGCACTGCCACCCACCTAGCTACCTGCTGCTGCTGCTCAGCGGCCCACACGCTGCCAAACCATGTGTTGGTTGTTGGTCCACTGTGAAGTTTCCTCTTGCCTCTCTTTGAAATTCCCGTAGGAGGGGTGACAAAGCAGTGCGACGTAACACCCTATTGTCTGGTAGAAGTTTCTGGTGAAACAGCTTGTTCAGTTTTTGCTCACAGTCCCTGATCTCCTTAGCATTCAGGAGCCTGTGGCAAGAGGAGTGGGACCTGGTGGAGTTTTTCAATCGGGCCCTTGGTGACAGCCACCAGATGGTTCTTAGAATTTCTCTTCCTTCCGATGATAATTTTTAAATTGAACCATACTTCTTTGCTTAATCAGATTTGTACTTATTTTCAATGTAAGAAATGTCCAAACCTGTAGAGAATTTTAATATGATTTTATTTGTGCCAAACTGACGACAATTGCTGGGAAGCAAGATCTCAAAGGCTCTGGAGAATGACAGTTTTGCAGCTTTTATGCATTTGAAATTAAGGAGGGAACATAAGGAAGATTACATGGAGGTGGGAGAAAGCAAGGCAAGAACTGGATTACAGGATAGGAAACAAGATTATGTGATCTCTGGAGGGTAATTATGCTTCTGAGGGGTCTAAAAAGAGGCGTTTCAAAGGTTAACCTGGATGCGCAAAAACAATGGGCAGGGCTGGCTTAAGGCAAAGAGAAGCCTTTTACTAAAGAAGTGACAGGCCTGGGGCGTGACCACCCACTACACCTGCCCAGGTAGGGATTTATGACCAGATCACCCTGTGAGGGTACTTTCCATAGAACACCTTTTTCGTCCACATTTTTATGAGTTTTTCCCTAGGAGAGTCCCCAGTCCTCTAAGCAAATGCACTATGTCAGATCCACCCCACAAGTTCAATGAGACACACCCAGACACGACAGAAGCCCAGCACTGGTCATAGCTTGACATAATCTGGGATTCCTCCCTGCACCCACTTCATAAGCTAATTGTATGTGTTTTGCTACAAAAAATAGAATTCTGTATGGTAAGCCAACCATAAAAATCAAACCCTAAAATGTAACCACCTTTTTGTAATATTTTGAAAGAATAAATGTAATTAATAGCAAGATCATATAGATTTTCCCAAGAACTTTTCATGGCTTGATACCTCTTCAGTTGAAACCTTGCTAAATTGAACTCTGGGGTTCTACGGGACCAAAGTGAAAAATCCACTCCGGATTTATTTTCCCGCGGGAGGGATGCTTCTGGGCTATCGAGGTGCAATGGCTCTTGAACGCCTTCAGGGTAGCCCTGAACACGGGGAACGCATGGCTTTGCTTCTCTGGCCTCTTCATCTGCTCAGAAACACAGTCCAGTGGGTTTCTGGTCACGTTTGGTTTCAATTAATTTTAAATTTGTAAACTTACAACATGACAATGGTGTAAGATGCATTTAAACACTTACATTTAAGAGGAAATGGGAATTCCCCCTCAGCTCCTCTGTGCTGATTCAGTGTGTCATCCCCAAAACCACTATTGCTATTTGTTGGTGTGTAAAGCAAAGTGAACATACATACTGCCTAATGCATGTGCAGGGCCGGCCTAACGTGACTGTGGTTTGAGGGTTCCCTGGCCCAGAAGGCCTCCCTCCTCCCACTCCTCATGGCCGGCATAATTTCCTTTTATGAGGGACTCCACAAGTCTGCATAGGACCACTGATTATGTATCTTCTGTCTGCTTCCAGCAGTGTACAGGATCCAGGGCTCAAGAGAGAGGAGGGGAACAGACGTCATGGAAGATTTATTGCTTACAGCAAGAGTTTTGAGAGGATGGTTTGAGCTGCTGCTGGCACTATGGGAGGAGAGGAGCTTGTTTTGCAGAGATCTTTGTTGGGCGAAGCTGCTAAGGCAGGAAGTATCAGGGATGTTTAGCTAGGTGGTCCTGGAGTGGCCAAGGAAACTGGATTTGATATATGTCTGTAGCTCTTCCACCATTTTCTGTTTACTATGGCCTGATTTTAGGCCCAGAGATCTTCTAAGCGCCTCTTCAGATGCTTAATTTTGCAGAGATTAGAGAAAAAAGGGGGTAGGGGAGGGAGGTATTTGAACAGATAGAATTGCTGCAGCTTCCCAGGCCACAAATCTGGGTCTTGGGTCTTAGCAATATCATTTGTTTTCTAAGTCAAACTTCCTTTGCGTTTTGTTAGCAGTTTGACTGCTATTCCCAACTCTCTGCTACACCTGCTCTCACCAGAGGCATCTAATGATTTCCTAGGTCCTTTTTCTAGTGAGTCCTTCTGTTATGGGCAATGGTTCCCAGCTCATGGTAGTCATACCTGCGTAATACCTTTTTGAGTGTGGTGGGGCCTGTCACTTGCTTTGAACTTCTAGGATATGGCAGAGGTGATGAACCTTACTCTGTGATTAGGTTACATGCAATTGTGACTCCTGTCTTGCTAGTGGACTGGACTCTCTCTCTAGCCTTGTGTCTTGTACTCTTTGATGAAGCAAGCTGCCATGTTGGAGGGGCCCACATGGGAAGGAACCGTGGTGGCCTCTCACCAACAGCCAGCTAGGAACTGAGACCCTCAGTTCAACAGACCTCAATGAATTAAATTCTGCCAACAAACATACAAGCTCAGAGGCAGATCCTTCCCCAGTCAAGCCTCCAGGTGAGACCCAGCGCTGGCAGACACCTTGCTTGCAACTTGGGGTAGAAGACACAGGTAAGCTATGCCCCCCAGAAACTGTGAGCTAAGAAACGTGTGTCATTTTAGGTAGTTTGGTCTGTAAAAACAGAAAACTAAAACTTACCTGCTCAGCCTTAATCCTCTTTGAGTTTTATTTTCCTTTACAAATTGAAGGAAACTCTCATCCCTGCAAATATCTCCAGCTCTTAACTAGAAGCTGCTGATTCCCAAACCTGTGTTTCCAGGCCAGACCCCTCTCTTCAGGTCAGAACCCATGACTTTGACCTAATGGCCATTTCAATAGTTCCGTCTGGATATTGTGCAGGCACCCTGAATTCAGAAGGTTCAGATCTGCCCCTTCTTCTGAGTTCCTTGACTGAGTATTTTTCACCTCATTTATCGAGTCACCCAATCCTGTGAGTCACCTCCTTCCTACCTACCACATCCAACCCATCAGTGAGTCTGGCATCATAACCTTCTACTTCCCCCCTTGTATTGAAGACGCTAGTTCTCAAAGTTTTGCTTTTACATTTTGGGAGTGAGATAAGAAGGTAAAGCAGTTGTTAGCCTGTGTACCAGGAATTTTTCTATGCCTGTTGATTTTCCATTAAAAGATAAGCAAAGCGTTTAGATAGTGAATATAATTTGGCTCAAAAATGATCATCTGTAAATTATAAATTTGAACTGTTCCACACAACCCATGTTTATATGTATTCAACTTGTCTCCCAGAGAAAGTTGGAGCAGTTGAACCAATAATGGTTAGACACTCCCCTGGCTTCTCTAGAAGGATTCTAGGAAGAAATGGGCCAATAGGATGAAGCCTGCTCCCCTGCTGGGGGTGAGGGACCAATACCAGTTGGCTCTGTCAAGGTGGAAAAGATGGGCTCTCCTAGCTGCCCCATCATCTAGAAGGATCATTACCACTGCCTGTGCTGTAAGGCAGGTCATTTGGAGGGGTGTATGCAGGGACATCCAGAGGCTCCCATTCAAGTCTTCAAATCACAAGTCTATCCTGATGGTGTTCACATCTGTATCATTTTCTGAGCCCTAAGCTTGTATATTATCAACTGAAAGGACATCCCCATTTGGACTCCTGTGGGATCCTTAAATCCAATATGTGCTAAACTCCTCCTCAAACCACCTCATCCCTTGTGTTCTTCACCTCAGTGGGCAATGGAGTCATCGATCCAACTTCCCAAGTCATAACAGAAGCATCATGCTTAGCATGTCTTTCTCTTTTACCCTCACATCCAATACGTGACCATGCTCTGTTGCTTCTGCCATCTGAATCTCTCTAATGTGAACCTTTCTCTTTCTCCCCATCCCCACTATCTCTTACATCCCCCTCTCACACACAGATGCATCCTGCACATAGTTCTCCCTCTCATGGGATGGGCTCCCTACGAAGCCATTCTCCACGCTGCTACCACAGCTATCTTTTTAGAACACAAGCCTGGTTATGTTTCTTTCTTGCTGAAAAACCTTCAGTGGCGCTCCACTCCCCACAGGAAAAAGGTCAAACCCCATACAGGCCTTACATCATCTGGTCCCTGATTATGTCTCTCTAGCCCTCCTCTCAGCTCCACTCCTCTACTCCGTCTCCTAGCTGTACCGCAGCACTTTGGTTCTCTCCAAGGAGCCATGCTTTCTCTCAGACCCAGGTCTTCGTGGATGCAAGAACACTTTCTGGAGCCCCTCCCCTCTTCCCTTCGCTTGCCTAGTTTTTGGTCTTAGTTCTGAATTACCTCCCCAGAAAACCTTTCCTAACACTCCTCTCGTCCTTCCCTTCCCCTTCCCTCTGATGCCCCCATAGCATCTGTGCTTGCACATTTGGAGGCATTTACCACTTTATATTTAATGATCTGTTTACTTGTCATTTTTCCACTCTACACTATAATCTCCTTAAACGGCAGGGGCGGTTTCTTGATGGCTCTTGAATTCTCACAGTGTTTGAGACGGGGTGGCACTCAATCAACATTTTTAGATGGCAAGTTGCAATCTGGACTGTTCAGCTTAATGTGCATGATAACTAGGCAGGCCTTAGGCATGGCTGTCCGTCATCACCCACTTTAGCTGTGGCTCCACCACTGTTGCCCACTCTGTCACCCACTACCAGCATGGGAACAAATCTCTCGGGAATCACATTAGATTACGGCACCTACCGATTTTCAGCTTTTGGCTCTGTTTTCAATGATCAGTTATAGGCGAAGCTGTTGGAGAGTAAGATGGAACTCTAGCTGGACAGACCTTGAACCCTAATATTATTTTAAGAGCCAGGGACAGGGTTGTCTTTTGATAAGACAGACAAATAGGCTCCAAGGGATAAAACAAAGCTCTCTTTGACCCTCTTCTTTCTAGCTTGTTCCTAATTAACTAACTTTCTCTTTATCGGCCTTTTCTCTATAGAATCAAGTGGGTAAAATCTTATTAGGTGCAAAGAATGACAACTACCACCTAATTATTGCCAGATAAAAGGTCTCCACATTAACTATTTTAAAACAAAGACATCATTTTTTTTGGGGGGGGGTGAGGGGCAGACTACAATGCTTAACCAGCTTCTGGCCAAAAATTCTCTTGGATCAATTCATCCAAACAATACATAGGAAAGTTAGATACTCTGAGGTGCATTGCTTTGATTTATTTCTTTATTTTCGTTATTTAAAGTAGTGAGATGGGCATTTATTATAATGTTGTAAAATTTACCCAGCATTTGTAGGACTCCACTGTTCATTCATCTGTTGACGGAGTAGCACCTTTCTTTCTGTATTAGCCCTGCCCATGGGTTCTCCCGGGACCTAGAGCCGCGGAAAGGTGCTACAGTTCCGCTCGGGCTCCTGAGGGACTCATCAGCCCTCCCTTGGTCTGACTGACCATCAAGACCAAGGTCACCAGGAGAGCACACCGGGAGTGCTTCTCAGGTTTGGACCCTTGTCACTGCCACTTATCAAAGGCTGGGTCAGAAAGACTATAGTTGTGGGGACTTTCCAGCTTTCAAAATTTAAAAAATGGCAGAAACACTCCCCCACTTCTTCTTTATTATTTTTTAGTTAAGAAACATCATGAGCAGGTCCAGTATGTATAACAGACAAAAGGGGGGCTTCCCTGGTTGAAGCCGGAATAATGGACACGGTGGGGCAGGAAGGGACAGAATCTGTTCTCCTGCTCCCTTGTTCTCCTCTCAGACCACATCCTTTCTAGAAGGATCCATAGAAGAGATTTCTCACAGGTCTCATTTCCAGGAAGCTTTGTGATGTGTGTGTGTATATATATATATATATATATATATATATATATATATAAAATTTTATATTTTATATATATATATATTGTTTGTTTTTCTTTTCTTTTTTGAGTCCTTGATTTATTTTTTTGTCTTATGGCGGCCATGACGTATGCCCCTTGTTGCATCAGCCCCTAGAAAGCACAGAGTTGATGTCGTAGTCTCTCACTGGCTGTTGCTCAGAACGCCCCTGCACACATTATATGAATATGAATTGTAGACATTAAGTCAAGAAGCCAGGTATCATTTCCACCTTATTTTCCTTTTGCTCTGATTTTCACTTTATTTTTATTGACTTTTCTATCTTACACATGGGTGTATGTTTACCTCAGATTGTTTCCGGAAGAAAACAGGATAAAAATAAACATAGGGAGGCATAATTCTATTTTGAAAATAACCTAACAGGTAGTCTTCAGCGACCACTGTGTGACCGTGCTTACCTCGTTGGGATGGAATCCATCGACGGGCTCAAAGAGCTCCCAGGGCTGCCGGCCTCTCTTCTGCCACTCCTTCACGACTGCAGGGCACACACACAACCAGGGGGTTAGAGACACGCTTCTACCAGCGACATTCAGGGAGCGAGGACTGTGTGAAAAATGCCGTCAGAGCTGCCCACTTCCCTTCCCAGCCGGCGGCTTTCTCAGCCATGGCTGCCTCTGAGTTGTTATCTCAGGCTGGGGGCTTTCTGAACGGAACTTGACCCCATTATTGATCCCCCGCCCCGCACTCCTCCAACTCAGGAAAAAAAATGTGTGAATGTGTTGGATAAACGTGGCTTGTGTAGTGAGGAGAGTGGTGAGGCAAGGTCAGTTCTAGAATATTCGACACCAGTTTAAGTCCATCTCATTTCTCAGTGGCCAGCAGGGCAGGTTTGCGGGCGCAGAGGGGAACAGCAAACATGTTGTTAACATCGCCTTTCACAGGCTGCCATTTCCAGATACTGCCTGCATTTGTCTAGCAATCACCACGAAAAATCAAAGAGTTCGTCCGAAATACAATTACGTGAAATTACCTCAACATCACATTCAGAGTGAGCAGAGCTACACCAAAAGTATTTTGAGCCCCAAAGTGATGAGAAGCAATAAAACTATTCTTCAACAGGAGTAAGGAATGTTAGTTGCGCCAAGGCGACGGCCCCTTATCTCTGCACTGTGGTGTCATACAGGCAATAAGAACTCGGCGAGGACATTTCCAGGCCTTGGAGAGCCTCCAGAGAGAAAAAAACCTAGAAGCTGCTGCTTCCCGCGGGGCCCATGTCCTCACTTCCCCAGCCTTCAGGGAGGGGAGCAGGCACAGCTAAGGTTCTGCTGGTTCTTCCCTCTTCATCTCCCAGAAACTCAAGGGCAGGGGCTGTGCCCGCGTGGTTTCTCCCCCGCCTCACCTCAAGGGAAGGAATATAAATTCTACCCGGGGCTTTGATGGGACAAAATTAGCTGGACTTTCCCAAAGCTGACTCGGTACTACACTGCTTTTGTAATGAGTCCTAATATCACAACAGGCCATCCCTACTTGCTACTCAACCCCTGTCCCCAGAGGGCCTGCAAACCCTGCTGCCTTTCTCCAAGCTCAGGAAAAAATTCCTGCTGGTGGTTTGTAGCCCTGCACACTGGACCTCCAATTCCTATTGGCTTCTTCCCTGGCCAAACGGCCACCGCTGAGCCACTCTTTTGTATTTTGCGTCTGGGCTTTACTGGAGGTTGTTGGAAGAAGCAGCTATTGGAAAGTAGTCTTTGCATTTCTTGGCGAAATTCAGGCTGAGGACAATGTCCAGTGTGTCTTCCACATGGAGCCCCAGGGAGAAGTTGCCTCATGCTGGTAACCGATGTCTCTCTCTGAAGGAATGGTAGCTGCTCTTCTGATAGAAAGCTCAGCGCTGTGGTGGTGCTTAAGCCACAGGAACCCTTATGAAGGCTTATTGGTTCTACTGAACCACCTTGCAGGCTTTGATAGTTTCTTTCCTGCCCTTGGCCGTAGCTACCTTGTAAAATAAAAGGCAGAGCCTTGGGAAGCTTGCCTGGCTTCTTCAGTGCGCCTGGCTGTTCTGCCTGTTGTTTTAGGCCTGACCTTGGAATCAGACTTTCTGCTTCAGGTTCAATTCTGGATGCTCTACCTTTCCCTGTGGGCCTGACACTTTAAAGCTCCTCTGGGTCCCAGACTGCCCTCCCTGGGCACAAAATGCTGCTGCAGCCCATCCGTGCTAGTCTCTGCTCACCTGCTGTGCATTCATCCATGCTTGGTTCAGGCTTTCTTCCCCCCC